ACTTTGGTCATCAGTCCTCCCTCTCTGTTACTGGCTTTCTTGAGTTCAGCTCAGGACTTAACTGAGGGAGTCTGCCTCTTAAGACTGGGCTTGGGCTGGTTTAACCCCCAGAAACAGCTGACCTGACAAAGGTTAACTCTTGAATCCCAGGCATTAGCCTGAGAATCCAGCATGGGACTGATCAAGACCCCCTGAATGTGAGTGCCAATGAGGAGGCCTAGGTAATCTATTGAGCCTTGGGCAGCAGATCAGTACCCATCCCGAGTATACACACGGACTTTGGACTCCCATCCAACAATGTGAGGTGCATTCTCACCCTGAACTTTGGGGGAAGGGTCTAGGCCCTGCCCTATATGAAATGACAGACTATGGACACCCCCATGGAGGGCCTCACCCTCCATGGGGAAATGAGGGGATAATGAGGGGGTTGGGGGGAGGGCATGGGAGGAGGGTAGGGAAAGGGAGAGGGACCTGGAACTGACTTATGAAGCAACCTTGTTTCTTATCTAAATTTAAACTGAAAAATAAATTAAAAAAAGAGAAATATTTCACATTTCAGATCTGTGCGTTTACATATCATGTGAGACTAAAACAAATGCTGTTCACTCCAGAGGGCACTGAAGAGTTGCACAGTATCTGAAATCCATGGAGAACTGTTAGTGAGAAACATAACCTGATACTAGTCCAAAAAAAAAAAAAAAGATAACTAAGGGCCAACTTTGCTGTCTATTGAGTTAATGGATGACTAAGAATAGGATGAATGAGCAGTCACTTACAGAAGCATGGATGACTTAAAGGCAGCTGAGTCACAGAAAAGTCTGTCCCAGCCTGGATAATGACTCATGAAAGCTGAGTTGCAGAGCTCCCAGAGGGACTTGAAAACAGCTAGGGCTGCTGATTTGAGAGGCTCTTCTCAACACCGGTTGTTTATTTTTTAATGTAAACTTGGGAAGGGTAGTGTAAGTTCAGTACATTTCAGCTTTTATTGAAAAATGAACTTGAAGGTTTTATTTGCTTTCACTTGGTGGAACATTATGAAATTGAGGAGAAAACATAGAAATCTTGTAGATTGATGGGTTTAACCAGTCATCTTTGTGCTGATTTCCTAACCTCTAACTTCCAAAATTAAATAAACTTCAGTCTCTACTGGGGAAAATGAAAGAATAAAATCTTAGTCTTATAGAAAATAAAGGTTGGTGATAAATGAAAGAATATATTGTATCGAGCTTCCTTTCAGTAGCATCTCAGCTTATGCTCCAAATACACCACATACAACTTGTTGCCAGGCAACCAGAGGGAAAATTTCTGAATCAGTCAGCAAGCTGTGCTACAGCAGGCCATCCTACTGGATTCATTTCACAAAAGAACATAAACAGATAATCAAGTAAATACTTCACGCACAGCCAAAAAATGCATTATCTCATCTGTCACCTATATTAAATTATGTCTGGGCAACATTATTACTGTAGCACAATACAACAGACTGTGAAATAAATACAACAATTTAAAAATGCTGAGAAATCATGCAAATTTCATTTGCATTTCATTTAATTATAAGTGTGTGAATTCTGATAATTAATTAAGAAGTAAATATGAATTATCCTCTAGTAATTTGTTAAAGAAGTATAAGCCCAAAATTCCTTCCTCTACAATCTCACATTAACTATAATAGAGTTTTTCCCAAACCTCCTAATGTTGCAACCCTTCAGTTCTATCCTCATGTTGGGGTGACCTCCAGCCATAAAATTATTTTCCTTGCTACTTCATAACTATAGTTTTGCTACTGTTATGAATTGTAATAGAAATTTTTTGTGTTTTCTGAATGTCTTAGACAACGCTTCTGAAAGAATCATTCAACCCCCAAAGGGACCATAACCCACCTATACTGCCTTAATTAAAATTCCTCACCAGGTGTCATGATTCCCTTTTGCTGGTTTTCATTCATCATGAAACAAACATGGGCTATTTTCCTACTTATAAATTCCATGGCTCCAACATGGGTACTTTAAGATACTTTCAACTTTCCCAGGAGAAGAAATATAGATTTCATAATACCCATAGTCTACCTAAACATTACAAAGACAATGGGTGCCCAAGCATTTAGTAATGTTCCAAGAAAAAATATCACTGGGATTTTGCTACTGCGAAAGTTCTAAGGGAAATGTTTTAGCTTTGGTATATAGACACACAGGCAGAGATCGCAGGAGGAAAAGCGATGATGTTGTCAGTACTGTCAGGATGCAGAACAGGGTGCATGGCTTCCTGGAACACAGAAACCATGAATCTGGTTTTAGAACTCAATTTTAATTAAGATGCCACCACAAGGTTCAGATGCTTCATGAGATTGCAGTACCCAGGAAAGAACTTCAAGATAGATACTTGATTCTCTTTGGAGATAGAAGTCCAAATAATTCTGTCTCCTTGTTTTATATTAAATTTGAAATGTAGGTTTTCCTTAAGGCTCTATTATCTCTTTTGATGTACAGTTTTAAGGTTGTACATATGTTCATTTTGTGTATTTATCACCCTTAATATTGTACAGAATGAGTGATCAATACTGATTCTTAATTATTCACAATCAAATATACATGTTAATGGATAGCTTTCATTTGGGGGAACTTGTGTTTAGATGTTTACCATACACCTGATTAGGCATCACTGAGTCACACACATTTGTCAAATGGAAATGTACCTACTTTGGATATACAGGGGCTCACTGCCTGGAGGCTAGGCACAGATGGTGGCAGGGGCTTAACTTTTGACAAGTGAAACTGTTTTATGAGATGTACTATGTAAGAAAAGAATCTATTTGTAGTTAAAAACAACAAGTGGAGAGAAAATGAGTGATCTTGGAATTGTTAGATGCATATGAGACACCGAGTAAAAGGGAGGTGATGTCAAATTTGAAATATATGGTCCACACATTAACATTATTACTAGCGATGAAATTTTAAGACTTGAGGAAGTAGTTCACTGGGCCATGTTTTAAGGCTTGTATTTTGTTACAAATCCTGTCATTTTATGTTTCTACTCTTTGCCCATCATGAAGTTAATATCTTCTGCCACATATTTCTGGAAACATGATTTACTTACAGTTACATTACAGGCCCAGACACACAGAATCAATAACCTTGTGATGAAGATTCTGTAGCTACAACAAAAATGAATTGATCACCCTTTTTAATTGTGCTGTTAGGTATTGTGTTCATAGATATGAAAAGACAAATAATGCAAGCATTATTAAAACATAGCTAAAGCCAGAGATGAATGATGAGATACTTGAGGAGAACCTCTGAGAAATCTGGGTAACTGATTATTTTTCTACTCTTACATACAGTACCTAATTCAGAATATTAGTAGAAACAGAACCCAAAGAACGTGAGAGTAAAGTATGAAGACTTTATAAAATTGTGAATTGTGAGGCCTTGTAGGGTTGATATTGATGAGATTGAGGTTTTAGTGACACATACACAGAAGTTATTTTCTACTACATAGTGTCAGTTGAACAAGAATTAGCAATGTTTTAGAGGGTCTGGTATGAACCTACTCATTCTTAGATTTTCAGAAGAGCTCTGCACTCAATACTGAGGTTTACATTCTGGAACCCAGAAAACTCTGACTGGGGCACTATTGCTAGCATTTCTGTAATTCTGTTGTCTCACAATATAAGACAATGGACACCACCCTGAGCTCTCAATCATGCAGACAATAAGCTACAATGAATTACTGAGGCTACATTGCATTTCTTTTTTTTGTGCCTTGTCTCCTCCAAACCTTAAACTAAAAATTCCTGTAATTTGTTCTAGTTTACAATTTTACCCAGTGTTTGTTTCTGGCTGGTACCAGGCAAGTGAAAGAGAAAAAGATTTTGACATTATTGTTAACTCAACAATTATTTCATGCCAAAGAGAAAAACAAAAACATTCCCCTTTCCCATTATTATTTCCGGTTTGCCATCAATGTCTCTATTCGTACTCTCATTTTCCCAAACAGATGAATTGGTCCAAAGTTTTGAAACAGTTATATAGAATTAGAGTTCACATTTCAGACTTGGGAGGGGAAATAAATGGTGTCTAGTTCAAGAGAAGCTTCGTAATTTGATATGATTTTCATTTCTCTGAAAAACGATTGTCTATTTGAATGATAGATTTTGTCCTCTTATGACCAATTCCTTTCACAACTTGGTCAGGTGGGCATCAGCTTCACTAAGCTTGAGAGGATGCTGTGTTGGTAGACAGGATTGAGGTAAGCCCTTCAGGAGAGTTAGTCTTCAGTAGAAACCCAATAATAGATGAAGTACATACATCATTATTTTGTAACTATACTATACATGGCCACCCACTCATGATCATTTGACTTAGCATTCTTGCTTTCATGATGATGTAAACAGTGGTATACAGTTAATAGAAACCACATTTCAAATTTTCATCTTCTCTCAGTGTAGTGATATGCATTTAATGTTGTCTCACAATACAATGGCAATGGAAGCCACCATATGCTCTAACAGATATAAGCACTACAGTGAATAACTGAAGCTACATGCTGTACAGTATTCCCAGCATTTTAAAATATAATGTCCATATTTTATTGTTTCTGGAGCTTCCCACAGACGTTTGGCCCCTAATAATCACATAGACACTACATACATTATTTAATCTGTTGACCGATGACTAGTGCTTCTTATTGGCCAGTTCTGTCTTAATTATTAACTCATTTCTATTAATCTATGAAGTACCTGGAGAGAATTCACATAACACAACAATCAACATAGAATTGCTAAAAGCCTTTATCACTTGTATTTCATTATAAAAATAAGGAAATATAAAATAAATACATATCTTCCAATAATGAAGAGAGTGGTAAATGGATGTAATATATATTTCATTTTAGTATACCTTGGAAGTTATAGATGCCAATTTGTCTTGTAAGACTGTCAATGCAAATCGGACCTATTAAATGGCAATTCAAACTTTGTGAAGCAAACATTTAGATGCTTTTATTTATTTTCCAAACTGAGATTTCTTAAGAAATATGTGCCTCAGAGACGCTTTCACATCCTTATTTCTGAGGCTGTAGATCAATGGATTAAGTGTGGGTGTCACAAGATTGTTCAAAATCTGAATAATTGTACCAAGCAACGGGCTAGGACTGGGCTGTAGGTAGATGATGATGACTGGTCCATAAGCACAGACAATGGCAGTGAGGTGGGCACTGCATGTGGAAAACGCTCTCTGCCTTCCTTCTGTCGAACGAATTTTTGAGATAGAGATCCCAATTCGAGTGTAAGACACAAGTATTAGGAAAAAGCAAATAAGAGATAAAAGACCGACATTTGTAAACCCTACCCTCTGTGCTAGAGAAGAGTCCTCACAGGCCAGTGGTAACACTGCAGGCATGTCACAGAAGTAATATCCCACATCCCTGGGACCACAATAGGGCAACTGGAAAGTGAGGGTTGTTAGGATAATGGCATGCACACAACCACTCACCCAAGTCCCTGTGGCCAAGACACAGCACACTCTGTGGTTCATGATGACTGTGTATCTCAAAGGGAAGCATATGGCAACAAAGCGGTCATAGGCCATCACTGTGTATAGGAAGCACTCTGTGCATCCCAGACAATGATAGAAGAAGAGTTGAATGATACAGCCCTGGAAAGAGATCCCTCGACCCTGTCCTGAAAGATAAGACAACAACTTTGGAGCTGTTGTAGAACAGAAACCCAAGTCAAAAATGGAGAGGTTTCCCAAGAAAAAATACATGGGTGTGTGGAGTCTCTGGGAGGAGATGACTGCAATAAGAATGAGGAAATTTCCCAGGAGGGCACAGGCATACAGTGATGCGAACAGGAAAAGCAGGACCTTCTCCAGGCCTGCTGTCTCAGGGATGCCCAGCAAGATGAATTCTGTCACCATAGAGTTGTTTGTCATGTTTATGGGAGAAGCAATTCCTAGGAATCTATAGAAAGACTGTATTGGTGAAATGTATTATGTATGTGGATTAGACGAGTTTAAATCACCAGGGTGGAAGAGAAAATCATAGTGGTATTTACAGAGAGATGTTGTAGACAGAATTATCTTTCCTGCTGATGGGTTATTTTTTGTCACTTGGGTGACGAATTGCAGATGGTGTTTCTGAAAATGGCACGCAGAAGGTAACTTCCAGAGTAATTGCGGATGGTATCTTTACAATCTCACCCAATTTTAACTTCCAATGCTCATCTCTTCTCTTTCCTTATTCATACAAATGATTCTCTTCCATCATTCCAGAAGCTTGTGCTTCTGAAACGAAGACAAACACTCTAGAATTGTACTTGTGGGAAGGATAATGGAATGGCAGAAGTAGAAGAGGGATAAGAGTGGGGAGTGAGCATAATCAATTTTGAAATTTTCCAAGAAAATTTAATTAATTAAAGGTTATGTTTCCAGATACATTGGCACCCAGGTTCTGGAACCAATGGTAATGATAATCAGAACCTACAGTATTTGTGAAGAAAAGACAACAGCAAAGGATATACTTCATGACTTTAAACTGAAAGTTTGAGCATCACTGAATCTTGAAGCTGAATGAATTCATTGATTTTTCTTACACAGAAGCATGAATGTTTGCCTATTTTTCTTGTGGAAAAATGAGTATTTGTGATTTTACATGGGATAATTCTGTGAACTGTATGGTTAAAAGTTGATAATGGCATAGTGACTGAAGTCTCCATAGGCACTTCTTATACAATGCAGAGCTTCACCTACTTCTATTTGAAACATAATACCCACCGTACAAGTACACACATGAACACACAGACATACACACAGTAAGACAGACATATATACAGAAACACTTTTACATACACACACCTCAGTCAAAACCTCACAATTAATAATGTGTCAAATTTTTAAAGGATATTTGTCACATATATCACAAGAGGCAAACTAAGTATGTAGAGTTGAAAAAAAAGCAACTTAAAAGTACTTTATTGCCCAGTTGTATAGAAGGAACAGATGCACAAAGACCATACTACAAAGAATACAGTCACAGAGGTTAAAAGGCATGAAATTTTACTGCTTTTAACAAAGAAATTTCATGGGTTCATCTGTGAGCATAAGACTGTGTCATCAAATTTCAACTTCATTTAACTCTCTATCCATGATTATTGAATCATGAGGGAAAATGAGTAGCTACCTAAAGAAATACCTTGGCATTTAATACGGAGCAAAGAAACTGCTGTTGACTCTACCTCAGGATGCAAAATCTAATTCTGGAACCATATTTGAGTTAAAGAGAAAGGTGGGTAGAGAAAACACTCCTTTCAAGTTGTCCTATTTTAACGTTTTCTGACATATTCTCATTTTTCCAAAACATTATCATCCTTAAATTATAGGTTAAGTCATAAAATATATTGTCTAATAGTTACTAGGAGACTGAACACTCTGATAAAGGTGAAGGAGACATTTGGTCACTTACTGAGGCAGTAGAAACCCTAATGTGATGGACGGTTTTATTGAACACTGTTTTCCTTCGTATCTGCAGCAAAAGGAGGGTGTCGCACCATCCTTCACTCTCTAAGTTGTAACTGAGAATTTCTCCTTCTTTTAATCACTTTCCAGTAGAATGCCACATATCAAAGTATGTTTCAGCTCCCTGGCAGCAATTTCCTGTCTGGCTCCAGGAACTGTAATAATACACAACACAAGAGATTTTAAATAATCATGATCTTCCTTTGGGTATTAACCCCAAGAGAGAGAAGTCTTATTGAGCAGACATCTAACTAAGTCCTTTGTTCAATTATGTTGTGGTGCTGGTGGATTATTTCAGTATCTTTTGTGAACACTTTTATGAACTAACATTCTTCAACAATGTTTAGATGAAGCCTCAATACTTTTCTTGCACACTTAACCTGTGACTAACAATTATAAAATCTTGTAATTTTGAAATTCTATTTGTTACATACTGACCTATATGGTGAGGTAGGGTTCTTTGAAGCTAGGAGAAGTACTGTCAGTAAATGTCCTCTTATCTGGGCCCTACAGTGTCAATCAGCAGACAGGGTGGGGAGACACAAAGCAGTTTCCTAGCAGAGGAACTGACTTGTGTATGATGGAAAGATCACAAGATACTTAAGGAATTTAGGAGATGGGCCTGAATGTCAGAGTCACTGAAGGCAGAATTCCTGTCCTGCAAGCCACTTCCAAGTAACCACATAGAGGGTTAGTATGAATTATAAATGCTCTGCCAATAGCTCAGGCTTGTTTTTTAACTCAATTTTACATTTTCCATTTACCCATATTTTTATACACACTTTGCCATGTGCCTTGGTACCTTTTCTCAGTATGGCATGCCAATGCTATTCTCCCTGTGTCTGCTCCCTATTTCTTTGTCTCTGCCCTTCTTCCCAGCATTCTCTATTTGGCTCTCCCTTTAAACTTATCCTGTCTGGCTGTGGCCAATCATATTCTATATTAAACCAATCACAGTGATATACATTCATACAATATAAAGGGATAGTCCACAAGTCTTTATTTTCAGTTTCTTATGAGTGTGAGGGAGTAGGATCACAATTGTAGACTTTTCTGAATGACAGAGTACATTCAAGGTCTACTGTGGAATAACACCTCTGTACACTGGGAATACGTATTACTCTCATGCATTAATAAAATCCTGATGGGATAGTAGCCTGGCAAGACATGTTGATGAGAAAGACAGACACGGAGGATTCTGGGAGGAAGAAAGAGGGAGTCAGGAGATGCCAGCTAGCCACTAAATGAGCAGGGAATGAGGAAATTAAGGTAACAGGACATGAGCCATGTGATGGCAGAATGTAAATAAGAAATATGGATTAACTTAAGTGTAAGAGTCAGCTAGTAACAAGCCTAAGATAATTAATATTAATCCTCTGAGTGGTTATGTGGAAACTGGTGGGCAGGAAAGAAATGCTCAACTTCAAAGATTAACATAAGAAACCTGTTTAGATTATGTCTCAAAATAAAAATTAAAAAGCATATGGTCATAGCTCATTGTAAGTATACATATTTGTAGTGTGATTTTTATCATAGAGAAGGTCACAAGTTTTATGCCTAGTGTTGCAAATGAAGGAGATGTTAGAGGTTATAGGAAGAGAACTCCAATTAAGATAAAGCTTGAGAGAGAGAAGATAGCAGATGATGACTGAATGTCCCAATGTTTACATTAAAACGGTTGTCTATTGATTAGGAGTAGATGAAATGCTACCATTTTAAGCAAGATTGTCTCAGAATATAGCGGGTGAGAAACTATATACAGATATGACCACATCTATAATACAAAGAATAACTCTGGGGAAGAGTAGACTGTTCAAATAGTTAAGTAAGAGCCTAGCACTAGAGTCTTTTCAGACATATGGTCAGGAATAAAGGGGAAAGAATAGTTATTAGTGTAGAGAAATGCCATCTTTAGTAAATATGGGTAAAGAGTCAGTTAGCCTAACATGACGGGACCAGACTATATCTTCATTTCCAGATAAAGAGAAATATGAAGCCGTTAGGGTGGAAAACAGACCAATAAAATAAAAAGAGAGAGGGTTATTTGGACAAAATAAAAGGAAAATTTATAGGAATAAAACCAATGAAGAGAGACTGAAATCAATCATGGCTAAGAAGAGGGACGATGAAGGATATGAAGACAAGGCCCCATATACATAGAGATAAGGAGGATAAACATAGCAGATAGACATTTTAGGAGAAAAAAGATGACCATCATTTTCAGCTTTAGCAAATTTGTCTTCATTGTGCAGAGATGGGTGAAAATCTGAAGCAGGATCCTGTTTATTTCCACAAATAGTATACTTTAAATATTCTAGCAACCCCAGTTCCTATTTGATGTATACTATAATCACGCAGCAGTCTAGCTCAAACACACTTAGGGTTAATCCACAGTACAACTGCATGTGCCTGATATGGAGTACAATGGGCTAACTGGAAGCTCACTGCTATTGCTATAAGCAATGTTTGTCAGTCACTCTGCTTTCTATCGTTCAGATGCTTCCTGGCCATACTACATTGATGTTGGGAAAGAATTGAGATAAAGTGGTTCGAGAATCTCTGGCAGGAATGCAGTTATAATAAAAGAAGATATAGCTCTCCCTCAAAAACCACATGGCCTGAAAACAGGCAATAGGTTTTAAAGTGGAGCTTTAAACTTCTTCTAGTGTGTTCTTCAATAGTATGGGATGCATTCATACTGTTACTCCATCTACAGAACCCTACGTGTATGCAGAATTGAAACTTAAACATGGTAAAAGTGTCATAATGAAGACCATGATTTTGTAGGATAATATATAACTAATTTTAAAAGAAACTGAAAGAAACCTGGGAATGCTGAGAGTAGGAGAAATAGTCTTCTCCAGGAAACAGCACGTCAAATGACTATACAACACCTAATGGTAATCCTGAAAGATAGGTCTACATACTAAGAACATAACATAGACTGTGCAGGCTACATTTAGAAATATATGTATATAACTTACATATATGCATTTAACAATTGTCAGTGAAAGGGATATTGAAAGAGAAAGAAGGGGTATATGGAAGATTTTGAAGGGAAGAAACAAAAGGTTATATGTACATACTATATACTATATATATTATATATAATCTCAAAAGAAAAGAGAAAAGAAAATACATCCATTAAGCCAAAACTATGTCTTCAGTTTCTATAATCTTCCCAAATTTCCACCCCTTACTAATCATTTTATATCATTTTTCAATAAAAGCAGCTTATTATAGAACCTAGAGTGGTTAAGTTCATTTTACTTTCATTGGCTCCTTCCTGTTAGCTCATTCTCTTCAAAGATTGCCCAAGTAGCTGAGGAGTAATGTGTCAGAACTTCATTGCTGTTCAAATCTGAGCAATATTCCTTTGTATATCCATTGTATAATACATGGATATGAACCATTCAAAC